CTGCCCAGCTGTTCGACAGCAACGGTTGCCAACGATGATCGATACGTAAACACTTGGGCTGTTTACAAATTTGAAGCAGCTGCGCGATTTCTAATTTGGTCTTTCGATACGCGCTTCAGCGAAACTTCCATTTCTGTCAAAAATTTCTATTTAGCTAGTGATTGACACTGCCACGAAGTCTGAAAGTTCTTTGACTTCTTGAAGTATTCATGTAAGTGGCCGTCGTCGACGAACATAAATTTAATCAACTTGTTGTCACGACCTCACGCGATTTGATCAGGGGAACAAAAATGCCTCTATGCACGTTCTGAAGGTGATGCTGAACAGCATATGAACCTCCTCTTGGAACTCAAATATTCGTTTTGGCTCTTTTCTTAAAAAATGAACAACAAAACATTATTTTAAAATGATGGAATACCGCATTTATTACAAAGCTGTTAATCATTCACGCATCGAATGAACAAAGTGATGAGTTAATCATTTCCCTTATTGTTTTGCAGCTGGCAGTCATCATTTAAATTATTTGATGAGTGGTTTTGAGCGCAAACATGCATTTGCCTGTATCAAACTGTTAAATATATGCTTTGACGGTAAAAATGCTAGGAATTTCGTTACAGATAAATCAAAACTTTTAATTAAATTTAGTATTTTGGTAAAACAAGATCTGGGCCAGTTAATGGGGTGCAAGCATGTAATTCGCAGTAGCTTAAGAATTAAAGCCACCAATTCAAACCTTGACTGTAATTTAAACGCCGTTGAAGATAAGCTCCATTTTGTACAGTGAAACGTTCAATTTGTTTTGTGTGCTTACAATTTTTAAAAAGAAATTACCATTGAAATAAAGAATGCAATAAAATCTCGGAACGCACTTGTGAAATGAGTTCACGGGACATATTTCTGCACACAGAAGTGTTCGCAGGAATAAAATTTTTTGCGAAAGGCAAAAGCAGCCATTTTTTTAATTACAAAAGTGATTGTCAGGTTTCGTACATGATCGAACATGCCCTGAAATAAATCTGTACCGTGTGCAGTGCACGATAAAAGCAAAAGTGTTTCCTTCATCTTCATCTTTCATCGCCGCTTCTCCTTACGGGTCGCGGAGGCAGACATGTCAGACAGAGCTTCCAACGTTCTCGATCAAAGTGTTTCCTAGTAAATGAAAATCGTCGAAAAATTTGGTTGTTGTTTATAGTTTAACTAACAGTGAAAAAGTTGCTCAAATCGAGGATGAAAGATAAAGCATTATCAGAATCGGAACAGACGAACATAGAGATATAAAGAAACCGAAACGAGAACTTGAAAGCTTGACATATCTAACCAAGAACTCAGATAATCAAAATTCAGAACCAGCTCTGGATACGATCACATCCTTAAAAAATTCCATTGGAAACACGAAGAAAAATTGCAACAGTAACGAGATGAGGATAACTCACTGCAACGCTGAAGCTGATTGGAATCGGAAACAATACGAAACTTTCAAACACCTATAAAAATTCCACGGGAAGCTACTAATCAGCACATTCACAAGGAAAACAGCACGATAGCCGCATAAATCAGTGGTGCGTAGAAATTGCGATAAAACTAAAACTTAAACAATCTATGTGTTTACTCACTACACCAGCTAATGATTTTTAGTCATACTCACAGAAGCTAAGACTATTTTGTAGTAATGTTTAGTACCTACTCGAATGAGCACATCAAAAGATAATGCTTCTACCACCTATAGCAGGTCAACCAACGAGCTGCTGCCCATCGATCGGCTGATTACACTGAAGCGCGCAGTGAGGGTATTCCATGCTCAAGGGAATTATTCAGCCACTTTCGGTGACCTCTATTTATTTCCGGCCGCGGAAGCGTACGGATCAGACAGTGTCTCCAACCTTCTGATTCTTCGTCTGTATTTGAAGTTGGCACATAATCACCAAAGTTTAGAGCAGAGTCCATCGAGATATTGCCCTGCGTTATACCCAGGGGTCTTTGATCGGTGGGTTCAGCAAGCGGCAGCTTTTTGCCTCCTTTTCTGAAAGCATTCGAAACACGTGTCTAGACCATCGGATCTCAAAGGGAACCAGCAGTTAAGTGATTGCATCTAGATTCGAAATGGCAGACGTAAGCCAGTCTGCTGCTTCTCACATGGTGGAGTTGTTGAAAATTGAAGGGAGAAGCCTTCAAAGCGACGTTATCCAACAGCGTATTTCAAAACCGAAAATCCACAGGAAATGATCATCTTGAAGAATGGTTGCATTTTGATTTCATGGCTATTATTTTTTTAAAGGATACGAATTTTCAAGAGGTAACTAACAGCAACCCCTTTATCAAGGATCGATGCTTCAATATATTTGTAAACGATATCAGGAAAGAAAAGCGACACTATGAAGCTTTTTTTCCTTCTGGTTAAGAGGAGAACAACCGAGCTCGCGAAGAATGGTAATCTGGTGGACTAAAAATTAGCGTCGACTCTGTGCAATGCAGCCATCGGTAGCAGTGAAATACAAAATAGACGTTTGTACATATTACGTAAATCGAAATTCATATGTACCTATTACCGGAACCATATTGCATCTGTTTTCTACAGCTTAGCGTCTCAAGTGAAATCAGCTTAGTAGCGACTGGTTTTTATTGCATGATATTACATACCCTGGCCAGAATCGTCACCGATTGTGGTGCAGCCGAAGCACAACAGTTGTTCGACTCCCATTAATCTACATTTCAATTCTTGCTTCGTTTACGTAGCTGAACATTTAAGCAACATCACATGTCTACCATGCAAACGCTCGTGTAATGGTTAAAACTTTTACTGGCAATCAGTTCAAGACGCATGATAGACAAAGTAATACTTTAACAGAACTTACAATACGGCTCAAAGATGAATCGCCCACAACTCTGACAAAATATAGTTAACGGAGCGAAAACACCGTCGAAATGTCCGCACACTTTTATTTGTCGACTGTATCAACGTCATTAAATTCAACTTCATTCGTATCTTCTTTCGTTCGTTTTGCTTCCGATTGCTCGCCTGAGATCGGTTGACGCTTAAAACGTTCAAATGCAGATTAAATTAATATTTTCTTTGAAAAAAATGTAAGAAAATCGTAGTCTAACAGAATAATGGTTAACACCGTATTACTTACCTTTAACGATTTTCTAACCAGATGAGATATGTCGTGGATCATTGGAGAGTCCGTGTTATCTTTCGAAGTGATCTTGATCTCGTTCTAAACAAGAATTCATGATACTTAACATTACTTAACTTACATAACATAGCATACGTAAATAAGATACTCAGCGTAAGAAAAATTTTAAAATAATTTACTGAGAATGGTGGTTTGATAAACATTCATATGTGGTTACATGTCACAAAACATTTAGCGTCATACGCTCGAATCCAAAAACTGAAATAAAAACAAACCATGATTTCCTTTCATTACATTTTACGCTACCTGAATGATGCGAATGAAGGTCACTTATAATGCAGATTATCGGCTGTTGAAAGTTTTTTTCCATTTTCCTGAACTTTAGAATCGCTCTCCTTTCAACTAATATATTTAATATAAGGTTCGATTTTCCATATCTAGTTTAAGAACGAGTGCTTAATCAGAGTCAAACTGCAGTTACTCATTCATCAAATTATACATTCGTTGAAAAAAATTCATGCAAAACCATACTTGCGATGCCCAAAAATATCAAAATATCTGCATTCACAAATTCTGGAACTCCACATTTGTAATTTTCATCCTCATCATTTGAACCACTTTGGTATGCTTCAGTATCTACCCAGCTATACGGCATTGCACATATTTCAGATAGTTTGTATACTTATAGCTGCATAACATAGCTTCACATACAATAAAAATAAGCTGCAGTATACACATCCAGACTATTTCCAGTCCAGTTTCCCTGATATAATATTTTCACTTATTTCAAACCAATAACCAATTCCAAAGTTCAATGTTTAGAAATTCATAAAATCAGACGGTATGCCTGAACGTCGTTTCCATTTTCAACGAAATGTATAACGGAATGCTGGTTGCCAGTAAGATAGAATGGTCTGATAACTGACTGGTTTCCCACCAACCTCAATCTTCTCCATGGAGATATACTCTCGCCTTTGCTGTTCAATACCGTTCACTACTTCAGCCTTTGAAACAGTGCCGACTTCTCGAACAAAATGGTTTCCTTCTAGAAAAGAACTGCAAATTCAAGATCTTCTGCAAAGTACCTTGTTAAACTGGTGCCCGCAGATGATATTGTGCTAGTAAATAGGTAAGAGAAGTGGGCTTCGTTACCTGATATAAAAAAGGAAGGAACATTTATAATCGTCAGAATGTTGGTCTTCCTTAAGTTTTCATGATGGGACAGTTTATGGCTGCGTTCTATTCTCCATTTCCATGTCATCAACCACGTGTACCATATTCATTTAAGCACAGAGTCGACAACCACTACATGGCAAGCAGAGTGTGTACTCTCCTGTTCCCGCCTCAGAGAGCAGTGATCAATTATCAACTTCAGAAAAGAAAATACTTAAGAAAAACAAGTGACCCGCCGAGGGTCGAATCTAGAACTTTTCAATACTGAACAATCCTTGTCTATGTCTTCTGTCAGAAAAAAAAATAAAGAACAAAAATGAAGAATCATTCATAAAAAAACAACTGACTGCTCGACGCAAAACATAAGTTTACCGGAAATCCATCGTACAGAGCATCATCTGATGCATAATCAGAAAAGACCAAGAGGATAAACGGTCAAAAGTAAAAACGCATAGAAGATGAGCTCCCGTTATTTTGATGGCCTGTAAATCATATTTTCGATGCGCATATTTCGCAACGTGAAGCATTTGTGTGCATGATTACCTAAACATTCTAAACTGTGTTCGCTTCAAGTTAAAGAATAAAATTTCCTGTATTCATCTTCGTACTTTTCTATTGTAGATTCTTCATCCTCCTCCTCCACAGTTTCTTAATGCTGTGTCTTTACTCATCATTTGTTTTAGATAAACAACGTACAAAGATTTTCATTCTTAACTGCAATAAATAAGGTCGGGGTCCAAGTAGGACAAAGTTCTGCTCTGCCTAAATCTTTGATTTTCTAGCATACAGCTGTTGTACCGCTGATCCATAAAAATATCAGCTGAAAAATTTTTGCACGACAGTAAGTGAGATATGAGTAATACCCTGCTAGAAAGCAATATCTACAATAAGGATAAGAGAAGAATTAACTGTCTAGAAAAAACCAACGCAAATTTGCATGCTCAGCGATAACGCCTCCGTTAAATTCAGCATGCCAAACGATTTTCTAAAGTTACTGCACATCGCATTAAGGACTTCTGACTCGGCATGAGACAGCACAAACAGAAACTTTTATATAATCACAAAACAACATGCCCGAATAATAAAAACAAGCAGTGTTTACCTCATCCTCCAATTTCAGTGACGAAGGAGCAGGGTTTTCGCTGGATTCCAGTGCATCCTGCATGCATTGTGCTACATCTTTGATAACTGAGTCGAGATCAGCTATTTCGACGGCATTCGCGTCACTGCCGTTGGTGGAATCCTTTTGCTGAAGTTCATCGCGTTTCATTTTTAGGGTATTAAGCGTCTGACTGAAAGCTTCGTGTGCATCACTGTACTTCTTTCCCAACATGTTCGCTAACCCTATCTGGTAATAGCTAAAAAATGTTTACCTTAGATAATTTTTCCACCTTCCACTACAGAAAAAGTGTCCTGGATTGAAAGCTTAAACAGGTATGAAAACGGGCTGCCAGAATTAAACGGTCAAAGGCACCAAACGACAATTAGCTCAGACAAACTGTTTGCCCAATGAGGAATTGAAAGCATAATGGAGAAGAAGAATACTTACACGATACCCAAAAAAACTTCAACACTAAGGTCAGAGAAAGAAAGAACTACACGGTATTAATCGGCAAATGCGGAAAAGGTGAAAGAAGTGAACATGGAGATCGCTGAAAGCAACCACTTCCATGTCACGAACATCGTTTTCCAGAAAGTTCTAAAGCAGCAATGAACATAGAGAAGCCAGGAGGAAAACATATCAACTACACCGACAATGTATTGATGAACAAGAAACGACTGATATCCGACGTGTCCACTATAGTCAACACCACCGTTTCTCACGTTCCACAGTGATATCCCAAAACAGAAGCGGATGAAAAGGGCCAAAAGGATACCATTTTAGTATACCGGAGGTTCCGAGGAGAAGCTGTCATTAATCAACCGCTAAATAAGCAGAAGTGAGGTTACAGATTAGGTGTATAATCATTTTGTCAATGCCAACAAGACTGCCGGTAAAGTACCCAGCCTGACAGTAAAGTCAACGAATAATCAACACATAAGGCCTTCAACAAGGTAGCTATTGGTTAGAAAAGCCTAACTAAAGGCCGAAGGGAAAATGGACAACATTTGCACTGCATTGTGCAAAAAAAATATGAAAGAAATTGAGGAAAGAATGCCAGCATTACAGGAGAATTCGATTAAAAGAATCTATGCAACGGACGAAAAACGTGTAAACGGTGGAACGAGATATCCGGCTAAAAACGGATTCTGAGTAGGCCGAAAGATAAAGGAGCAGAAAGAACTACTTATTGCAATCGAATGAACGCGATCTGCTCAAAGTTCTGCAACAACATGTGCTGTTTTAAAGTAGGCTTGAATTAGAAGTTGCCACGGGAATACCAAGAAGCGTTCCGGAAGTCATCCGGGACGAAGTTGAGTGGAAAATCAGAAACATCAAACTGGCTAATGTTCTGGTCAAACACGATATAATTTCAGAATACCTTAAAGCAGAAGGAAGTATCTTACTTAAAGCATTTGTCAGTCGTTATGCGGAATACTGAAAAAAACAAGATGCCCAAAATGTGGAAGACATAGAGAGATTCTTTCAATGAGGAAAGGACACTCTGAAGACCTCAAGAGATATCAACCAATTAAATTCCTGTCGCAAATCTACAAAGTTTTCGTCCGCATCTTTTCCAACCGTATTTTTAAGAGCTTCGAAATAACCAGAATTTGAAAACAGGCCGGTTTTCGAAAGGGTTTTCTACCATCGACCACAGCAGGTAGAAAAGTGACATTCTGTTTCCTTTCATCAACTGGATTAAAACATTCGATCTGGTAGGCAGACGGATGTACTAACCGCCCTAAATGGTATAAAACCTATAAACAGCAGTGCTCTTCGCCGCGGAATTGACATAACGATTCAGATGTCTAAACTTGTGGAAAGGTATCAATATTAATGAAGAACAGCTAACGCATTTGTTGTCTGCGGATGACTGCATCGACTTCACATCAGACATGACGGAGCTTAATTGACAATTCCAGCATGCAAGAAGAATCTCTAACCATCGGTTTGAAGTCTAGCCTCTCCAAGACGAAATACAGAAATAGGTGTGAAACGAGCACTGCCGCGAGAGTAAAATCTACGAGAATGGAGAAGTCAACAATCATGCATACCTCGGCTGCAAGGTAGACCGCATCAACTCGCTAGACGGAGAAATCAGCTGAAGAAAGAAACGGCATGGGCCGGCTCTGATCTATTAAATCATAATTACTTGGCAGTAAGCTGCCCATGCTGGCGAATAAAAACTGTTCGATTCAATCGCCCCAACTCCTGTGATGTACGGCGATGAATATTGGTCTGCTACTATAAATGAGCCAGTCATGTGGCTCGCTCGCTTGAGAGACAATTGGAGATCTCCATTAACGTCGAGTCGGTGGCCCAACAACATACTGGAGTGATCCGATAATCAAACTGCTTGCCTTCATGACGCATCCATAACGAGGACAAATCATATAACGAATTATGCTAAACAGATTAATAATAAACTAACCAGTGAGCAATCCTTCGATCGCAAGACGGTAATAGGGTTTTCTGAACAGAAAGACATCCGTTCAATTCCTTAAGAGCTTCTTCGTGGTTATCGCTCTCCATTGAAATTTCGGCCAGGACTAATCGGCATTCGGCTGCCATTAACTTGCCATCGTCATTCATCTCTCTAAACACATGTACCTCGGTTCTTGAACTGTATTTCCTTCCAATTTACTTCTCCCATATGATTCTTGCCAAATCAACCATTTCCCAGGCCAACTGAAGATCTGGTACCTCGGCAGCCGCATCTGATGAATTTTCATCAAGTTCTGATTCATCGTTGCTTTCGCACGTATCATCATCAGATTCATTATGTGAAACTATAACTATAAAAATTAACGATATAAGCTGAAAAATTACACCATAGTTCATTCAATGCTCTCCGCAGATTACTTTCAAGAAACCGTAAGGTTTATACGCAAGAACATTTCCTTCAAGCATTCACCTCATACATTCATACTAGTTAGCGAACAATGAATCAACTTGTGCATAACAGAAACCATAATCTCTTGTGCATCTTCATCACTGTCAAGTCAAATCAA